TGTGTGTGTGTGTGTGTGTGTGTGTGTGTGTGTGTGAACATCAGGAGGAGAACCCAAATAAAGCGCAGCGTCGTTTGACAGTTCCCTTTGCAGCAGTGCATTTGTGAATTTATGAATTCATGTGTTTGTGCTCAGTGGATGTCTGAGCTCCGAGCCATGATGCTGCTGTATAACGTAGTGTGTGTGTGTGTGTGTGTGTGTGTGTGAGTGTTCATCACTTGAATGCTTCATTGCTGCTGCTTCAACAGCCTCTTGAGGCTGCGTGCTTTTAAAGTGCTTCTTCATCAGTCTGCCCCCCCCCTTGTTTTGGAAAGCAGAACAAGGTGTTTCCTGAAAAGTTCATTTGTAGATATTTGGGTATTAATTAAATCAAAGTTTGCTTACAAAGTCTGCAGACCTGCAGTGAGTTTTAAAAAGACGTCACTCTGTGTTTTCACCGACTCTTCACTGATTAGTTCACATTGTGTGGAAAATGTTATTTCTTTCATTTACTTTCTGTAGTTCTTTAAAGCTCGTGATCTCACATGAATCTGCAGTCGACTTGGGATGAAAACCTGTTTGCCCACAGTGAAGCTTAACATTGAAATCCAGATTTTTATGTGAAGTTTTTCTCTTAACATAACTACAAACACTGTACCTGCTGTGTTTCAGTCCACTGACCCTGATTTGCCATTGACTTACACAGGCTGCAGACACATGCGTCACAGATCAGAGGTTTGTTCGGCTGGTTTGTTCGGCTGGTAGATCTACGAAGGGGCTTTTGCGGATAAAAACCAACATTTGCAATATATTAAAACTCTATTCAACCCTATTTCAACATGGCATGGTAGCCTCTATCTAAAACCCTTTCCCCCACAAAATGAGCTTGTATGTGCAGGTTTTTTTAATGCTGGAAAACCTGCTAAAATGGGTGATAAACATCCCTTTTGCCAGTAGGCGGGTATGCATTTCTTTTCTTTTTCTGCTGTGTCACATTGGTTACTTCTTTTTTTAATATCTGTGACTTTTCTCTTTCTTTGAAGCTCGTTGGCGACTAATTTGGAACAATATTTGAGCGCTGCTTTGATGGAGACGCAGAATTTGTGGCTGAGACGACAAACATTTTTTCATAGCAGCCAGAGCATCGCGCTGGAAAAGTGGTGGAAATGAACGCGTCCACCTGAGTGTCATGTTTGCATCACGGCTGATCGGAGCTGGAGACGATGAATACCTGTCACTACTGCAGTCATTTGTCCCGCGACTTAATGCAGATTGTGACCTTTCACCTTTGTATTCAACGCTGTTTCTAAGTGTATTTATACAAACACCATTCCCGTTCTTTTCGTAGTGTCCCTGAGCAAGACACTGAACCCCTGGCTCCCCGGGCGCCTTTCATTGGCAGCCTACTGCTCCCTATATACAGGGATGGGTCAAATGCAGGAGTCAAGTTTCATGTATATGTATGACAATAAAAAGGGTTTCTATGTTTCTAGTCAGGTGTACACAGCACTAAAACTGGTCATTTAGGACAGAACTCACATTGCATATTAAGCTGTAGGAAGTCCTGCGTTATTTCTGTCTAAACCTAAACCTCACTTGTGCGGCATCTGCTGAGCTTGGCGTGTACTTTTATTCTCACGATGTGCATTTAGTGACTGCCCACTGCAGCCATCTGTGGGCACTACAGAAGGCCTGTAGGGCTCTGCACACACCACTCACATTCACATACTCTCTCTCTCTGTGTGTAACTCACGTGTTCGTATTTCTTTTCCCTTCTTTGAAAACACAATATGTTCAGAGGAAGTTTGTTGGAATGTCCTGCAGAAAACATCATGCACAGTGCGATGCACAGTGCGAGCGTGCATCTACTGTATGCGTGCGTGCGTGTGTTTTGTGTGTGCGTTTGCGTGAGTGATTAATGAACGTGGCTGGATGGCGTCAGCGGGCCATGACAGCACGACTGCGAGGAAATGATTTCCCCTCTCCCTCCGTGGACTGCTGATTCAGAGCTTGCAGGACTTTTTCGCTGATTGCAAAAATCACATCATAAGGGTGCCGTTATAATAACCCCAATCACAGCATCACAGCAGAAGGGGAGGGGAGTCGCCATCAAAAAAAGGAAATAAAAGCGGCCATGAATGATATTAGCTTGCCTGTTTATGGGGAGGGGGGGCAGGCCAAGGTTGGGGGTTGAAATGTGGCAGCTTCTTGTGTAAGCATATCTCTTACATCAGCAGAATGTGTTGGCTATAGGTTGCTTGAAAGAGGGGCTGGACATTTAGATATTAAAGACTGATCTCTGTGGCTCAAAGGGAATGGAAAGACTTCTAAATGTCAGCATTAATGGACATTTGCATAAGGAGGAGAGCAGTTAGCTTATCATGAATAATGAAATGTCAACAGAAGAGGCATATCGCTCATTTTGTCTACGTTGCCATCAAGACGCTGACTTTGAAATTCCTGTCGCAGTCGGATAAGAGAGATGAGAGCATGAAAAGAGAGAGAGAGAGAGAGAGAGAGAGAGAGAGAGAGAGAGAGAGAAGGAAGAAGTGGCGAGAGATTGACAGTCATAGAGGGGAAACAAGCATGGAGGAGGTGAGACCAGGGATGACACACAGACCTGGCTGCCTGTTATGCACCATTATTCGTTTCCCCTCTATTATAAAAAGTTCTCTCCGTGTTACAGTGCAGCGAGTTGATTGGCTATTTTCTTCTCCACCATGCGGTGCAGAAACTCTCGGAGCATATCATGAGGTTTATCACAGAGTTCGACCTTTAGTCTCCAGACGTCAAAGCGCTCAGCTGGAGAAGGAATGAGTTCAGGGAGGTTTGGAAAGAGGACTGTGCTTCGAACATGCATATTCCTTTAATGTTCTGGCTTTAGGGTAACCAGCATTGTTGTGTCTTTGTGTCGTGTTGCTTCTTTTTAAAAGTTTATTTTCCATAAATGCCAATGCTGAAATGCCTTGAACCTGTATTCTCTATAATGACCACCAGGGGGCGACTCCTCTGGTTGTATAGAAGTCTATGAGAAAATGACTCTACTTCTCTCTTGATTTATTACCTCAGTAAACATTGTAAACATGAGTTTATGGTCTCAATCTCTAGTTTCAAGTCTTCTTCAATACAGCATGATGTTCATTTAGTACATTATGGTCCATTTAGAGTCAAACAGACCATAAAGCAGGGGATGCTTTAGGGTAAAGCAGCTTAGCTCGCTCCTAAAGTTGAAATATATGTATGTTTACTAACACTGTGTGTTAGTGCTGAGTGTTCTGACGGTTAATTATTCGTCAATAAATAGTTACATTTAATAACTTGGAGAGAGCCAGGCTAGCTTTTCCCCCCTACGTCCAGTCTTTATGCTAAGCTAAGCTAATCATCTAACTCAACATATTAAGTCAATGCAACGAATAGCCTTTTGTTCTTTTTCCGGTGAGAACAGTTTCATATATTTATCACTGACTGCCTTTATCAGTACACTTGGTGAGGAAGCCAAGTAAGAAATAAACATCTGACCGCTCAATCAGCACTCATTTCACTCAAATACCGACTTACAAAACCCGTTAAAAGACTCACTTTTGCCTTCATGCTTCAACCAAACCGAAGTGGGAAATGATGCAGCGTAAACCCCGACGGCAGCCGGTCTTTTTATTCACTCTCCTGAAGCCAAAGGGTGGTAAGATTTTTCAGACACTTCCATGGCCGGGGGGAGTCAGTGTCTCATCATCGGACCGTGCACAAAGTTAGCTAGAACACATTTCCTACTTCATTTCATTGCTGCATTGCACCAAAATCTGTCGGGCAGCTTTACGTCGCTGTGGAGCCCCGATGCTTACGTGCAAATGACAGATCCCGGCTGATGTTTTATCTCATCCAGCAGAGCAAAGGTGTGCAGAAACACCATGCATCAACCTGCCACGGTCTATTTGGAGACTCACCCAGTCTCAACACTTCAGTGTGTGCTTTCCACTCCACGGACTGCAGATACAAATACAGCAAATAGCAGATTACGCAGAATACCGGCTAACTGCAACCAGAAACCACTGAGCTGAGTCGTCTGTGTTTGAATCATTTCACTGATATCATTTCTGTTTCTGGTTGTCTGATATTTGTGTGAGTGGTTTTGATCAGCAGATGCCACTGACTGCTGTGCTCCCTGATATCAACAACGAGATGCATTAAACAGTGAAGACATAATGTTCATTTGCACCAAGTTTTTTTGGCCCAGTTTCCAATCCAAGTCTTTTAATAATGGATACCCCCGATACAAAAACTGATGCGATACTTACATTTATATTTATTATTTGTGTATTCGTACCAACACAGGACTTTCACCTGGGAGATCATGGTTCGTGTCGAGTGTGAAACCAAGTCATTGCTGACTTAGTTTACCTTAGTTTTGTTACGCAACAAAATTACTTATTTTAACCCAAACCAGTATCTTTTCCTAAACCTAACCAAGTACTTATATTGCTTAAATCTAAACTACTACTTTTGCCGTGTAAGTAAAATTAAAAGTAAGTATTTAAAAATGTTATTTTGTAAGGAAACTGTTTGCATATGACGAGCGGAAACTGCACGTTTCCTGTGAACGTTTATTTTAAAAAAGTGATCCAAAAATATTACTTTCAGCGTTTTTAATTATTGATAAACAATTTGGAGGCAAGTTCTAAGTGTGAGACTCCTGAAACTGATGTGAAGCGATCGACTAGAGAGAAGACACTTTTGAACATTGCTTTTACAACTGTTTTATCTGTTTTTGTTCATTTGCATTAATCAAAGGATTTTACATTAGCTGAAATAAATTTGCGTGTTTTAGAATTTCCAGTCAAATGGCCTTGAAAACCCTTCTCCACATGTCTTTAGCATGTTGTATTTGTGTGCTTTTGTTCTGTCCATGCTCTGTAATAGAGCTGTCAATAACAGTGCTGCTAAAGGGCTTTGGAGTGTATTGTGAGGACCCAAAGCTCGCTGCCGTTTCTCCTGCAGCTGCCTGGTGACCGCTGGCTGCAGCGTGGTAGACAGACGTGGACCTGACGTGTTGACAGGTCTTCTGAGAGGCCATGCCAGTGCCACAGTAGAGAGAGTCCTGACATGTCGTCCCAGCACAGAAACACGATCCAGAAATGAAACATCTCTGAAGGAAAACATGGTTACAACGGACACATTTCTGAATGTGTGATACATGTGGGTGATAAAGGATATCAACTTAGTTCAGTTCTACACACAACTGCACCCCTTCTTCTAAAAAGGCAACACAACATGTAGTTTATTAGGTACAACCAGATGCACACATAAGATCCCTGCATTAAATCTAACCCTTGTGAATCTCATCATATTAGGTGTTTTACTTTGGCAATGTGTCAAAGATGTGCTTATTCATCTCTTTTTGGAGGCTGTAGCTTGTATTAATTGCATTGCATCATTATTATTGGTGTCTGTAATATATACAAATTTCAATCTAAACAAAATACTGGAAGACTAGTTTGTTTTCAATGAATCTTTCTCTTTAGTTTGAACCCTCTTTAGTAAAGCATTTCCACTTCAGTAGTAGATTGCACTTTGCATCAGCTTCAGTCTGGCTGCCTTGGTGTCGAAATGCTCTTTTGAAGTTCTTTTCAGTGTGCCAAGGCGAGTATTTGTGACAGCTGTTAATCAAACTAAACTTTCTTTTCTCGTTCTGTCCCCTCAGGATGGTGGTCTCTTGTGCTGAGCTCTGACAGGGCGGAGGATCTTTTCCGATTTCAGATCAACTGTCTTCATTTCAGCGCTGTCTGGCTGCTCCCATCCAATGGAATTAGACATCGTTACTTAATCATTACTGTTCTGGCAACTGACTGACTTTTCTGCATTAATAAACTGCTTTGAGTCTGATACTAGAAGACCAGAAAGAAAGAAAAAGAAAGGCACCTTACCTTTGTGGCAACCGGTGGAATAAATCTCAATAGATTTGAACTAAAAGACTTTTAGTGCCAAATTTCCCCGTTCCAAGATGGATGAAACACATAACAACAGGACTGCCTTGGCTAAAGGGGCCAAGGACATTGCTAAAGAAGCAAAGAGGCACGCTGCCAAGAATTTAAGCAAAGCCGTCGACCGGGCCTCAGACGAATACTCGACCCATCGCAGCTACAACCGCTTCCAGAACGAGGACGAAGAAGAGAACAACCGCAACACGTACGGTCAGCAAGACGGTCACTACGCCGACAACGCAGCTAACGACGACGAGGACGCGGCCTCGAGCGACGCCACCGAGGGCCACGACGACGAAGACGAGATCTACGAGGGGGAGTACCAAGGCGTGCCGGCCCACAACGACGGGAAGCCGCGGGACGGTCAGGTGGCGCTGGGCCAGCTGGTTTCCGACAGCCTGAAGAGCCGCAAGGACCTGGAAAATGAGAGACAGTCGGACGAGGAGGAGCTCGCCCAGCAGTACGAGCTGATCATGCAGGAGTGTGGCCACGGGAGATTCCAGTGGCAGCTGTTCTTCGTCCTCGGGCTGGCGCTCATGTCGGACGGCGTGGAGGTGTTCGTGGTGGGCTTCGTCCTGCCCAGCGCCGAGACGGACATGTGTGTCCCCAACTCTGGTGCCGGATGGCTCGGTAAGCATTTGCAATTACAGTCGGACACTTTCCTGAGTTGTTTGTATTCGTACACAGAGTCTCACCTTTAAGAATCTTGCTTTTGCTGCAGTGACGTAGACGTGTACTCCAGTGCACCCTGACATCACTGTGGGGCGTGGTTACAGGTGCAACACAGCACAGATGGTGGAGAAACACTGCTTTCCATCGTGGTGTTGTTATTCTTTAAAACACCTGTTTTTTCAATCAGCTTCTTAATATGAGTGATGACCCTAGAACAGTGTTGTTTATTTCACATGAGAGATTTGTGTTTGTGCTTTTCTCGTTGGTTTGAGAAGGTTGAGGCTCGGTTGTAAAAAGGTGATGTCATATAGTTCAGCTCTGTGAGGCTGTGATGCTAATATCTGGATGCTAACATGCTCTCAGTAACAATGCTAATGTGCTGATGTTAAGCAGGTGTAACGTTTACCGTGTTCATTAGTTAAGTTTAGCACGTTAGCATGCTAACATTTGCTAATTGGCACAAAACAAGGAGTAAAGATGGCCGACTAGATGACAGCTGTTGGGCTGTTTGCTCGTGTTGACCACTGTGTCAATCAAAGTCCCGATGATGCTGATTGGCTGAGGTTTTTAAAGCCTGAAACTGAATACTTTTTTCTTTGATTGTTGCTTATTTAGTCATATATATCTAATGTTATAGAGAAATAAGATTTTGGATCAAGTTTTCAGTGGCATCCGACAGCCTCAAATTTAAAGTAAAAGTAAAAAAACAGACTTAAAGTGACAACCAAACACAAAGTCGTGGAAATCATCATTCCCTGTATTCAGTGATGGAAAGAGGAAGCAGGTTACAGCCAGTGTGTATATGTATTATCTGAGTGAAAGCTTGAATCACTCAACATCAACAGGGATGTCCTAAATAAAACATCCTAAAACAAACACGTAAAGTTACAGGTTGGGTGCTTCAGCAACCTCCTCATGATGCGTGTTGTTCCCGGCATGCAGCGCTGCACATGGAGACACGTGCGACTGTAATGTCGCTGCTTTAGGAGCTCACCAGAGGGTTGTCATGGCACCAGGTATTGGGATGCATGAGTAGGAGGTGTAGATGGATCTCTCCCACACTACGAGGGAAGGTTGTGTGTTTGTGTGCCACTGATGTGTCTGCATGTGCGATTTAGCTTCATTATTTGTCTCTCTAATACCAAAAATAGCTACCGGACGTGTTTCTTAATATACTGTATGTGTGTCTATGTTTAGTGTAACATTAAAGCATTCGTCAAGTTTATTTATAGAGCACACTTCATACTCAATGTGCTTTAAAATGAAAAGCAAAGAAAGAGTCCAAGATCCTACAAAATAAAACATAATAGATAAGAAAATATTACATCTATGAAAGCATACAAGATAAGAAAATAAAAAGGGAATAATATAAGACAGTAATAACAATGATTCTGAAATAAGTTTCTTACCTGTTTACCAAACACTTTAAACCTAAAAGCTTTGAAAAAACAGATATGCTTTTAGTCATTTACCATTCCCAAATAAAGATCACCTTTATTTTCTGTCTTTTCACAATACGTCTGCGTGGTTTTATAACCCAAAAGAGAAAGCCTACCATTTACATTTTTTGGGAGTAGGATGGTTCATTATTCATCCAGATTTCACCCGTATTCTGACTCATCTCTCAGTGGGAGACAGGAGGGAGAGAATAGCAAGAATGAGTCATTTTACCAGCTCACTCACACACACCGCATAAGTAAAGGGTGTGTGTGCGTGTGTGTGTGCTCACTTGTGAATGTGTTTAAGACTCAGAAACACTGAACCGACATCAAAGAGCTGAGTGTTGCGTCGCCTCCATGTCGCCTGTGTCTTGGACAAACAGTTGCACTTAAACGTGTGAAAATCCCACAAAATCATTTTGTATGTTTTTCACGTAATCATGAACAAGGAGGTGTAAAGACTGCAAAAGCCCACACAGAGCAGCTGGATGGGGCCAATAAACACACATCGTTCACCCAGGAGACGAGAACCTAAACTTAACGAAGTATTTCTCTTGTATAAACCGAATTAAGTTGTTTCCTGTGAAGGTGGAAGTTTATTTTGAACAGACTGTGTGCATGTAACTAGCGTAAATTGATACGAGTTGCTAAACTTTGGAGGCAAATGCACGAAAAATGACGAGTAAATTAAATGATATGACGATACGGCCGTCGTCATCTTGGCTCTTTGAAACCAGTGAACGGAAGTTATCATATTTGAACTGTGGAGGCGTGACGTAGAGACGCCGTATACGGCTCTGGTAGCGGCAGCAACCTGTCAATCACTGTGTAGCCCCGCCCTAAAGCATCCCCTGCTTTATGGTCTGTTTGACTCTAAATGGACCATAATGTACTAAATGAACATCATGCTGTATTGAAGAAGACTTGAAACTAGAGATTGAGACCATAAACTCATGCTCTGATTTGCTTATGCTGAACAGCCAATCAGAGCGGTTTCTTTCATCGAGGGGCTCCGCCGCCGATAAGTGCGGGACACACCACTAAAATCAGGGCCACAGACGCTCACCTTGGTTCCGTAATATAACTGATTGGTGTTTTTTTCCTCCGTGAAGGTCAGAGACTCTATTAGTGATCAATAAGAGCCTCTTCAGTGGAACATCTGGCTGGAACAAAGACTCACGAGAGAAATAATAAAATAAAGAGAACGATACAGAGATCATCCAGCACAGTCAAATGTGATTACAGCACAATATTTAGCTCGAATTACACAGCATGATGTAATGTTTGAGCATTAAGGGGCTTTGCATAATTCATCCACATTAAATGATTGCAAATAATGGAAGTACAGTATAATATTCATGGGAATACAACCAGCTGCAGCAGACTGAGTAGCAGTCTGGTGGAGGAGGCTTACTTCGGCTGGATCATGTTCTCTGTGTTACATCAACAATTTATACATGAATAGATATTGATCAGGAAGGACGGGGTTTTCCATCCACGCGAGGCTAAAACAGTCTGAGGTGAGGACTACAGCCGGGAAGTGTTCTTGTGTGTGGGGGGGTCCGACAAACACTTAGTTTGAAGCTTACTGACCCTTTAATCTGAAATAATTTGGGGGAATTGGAGCATATTTTAAAATGCATCAACCATGAACATTTACACGAATCGTTTTGAAAGCATTTTTTAGAGCTTTTGTAAAGAGGAAATGTAAATATATACCACGCAGCAACCTCCGGGTCTGGAAAGTGAAGCGTCTTAGACCTGTATTCTCTCTAGTGTCCACCAGGGGGCGACTCCTCTGGTTGTATAGAAGTCTATGAGAAAATGACTCTACTTCTCTCTTGATTTATTACCTCAGTAAACATTGTAAACATGAGTTTATGGTCTCAATCTCTAGTTTCAAGTCTTCTTCAGAGTCCTGCATTCAAAATGTTTCTCAAGTAAAGTAGAAGTATTATCAGCAAAATGTACTTTAAGTATCGGAAGTAAAAGTACTCACTTTGCAGACTGGCTCATTTTAAAAGTTATATATTATTATGAAATAACAATATTTTGTTCATATTACTAATGAATTTGTGTACGACCATTGCAATGTTGTGGTTCATCAATGTAGAGGCAACTTTAACTTTGTGTACTACTGGGTAGGGAAGCAGTATAGTACTGCATCATATCATATATAAGCACACGTTTTTTTATGTAAAAAGTAACTAGTAGTGTCAAATTAATGTAGGGGAGTTTATCAAAATTGTACTTCAGTACAGCACTTGAGTATATGTACTTAGTTACTTTCAATTACTGCATTTATACTACAATACATGACTCCAAATAAAAGGGACAAATATCCCACTTCATCTCTTAAAAAGGAACTAAAATGCTGCAATATGATGCTTTGACATTAACATATTTACTGGACATGATTTTCATGTTTTCTTCCTTCATTATCATGCATCTCTAGTATTCCTCTCCATAATCTACTCCAAATACTGCCCCATCCCCCCCCACATATCTTTCCCTTTAATGTATAGAAAAGGTGAGATGTTATGCAGATACGGGATGTTCCAGGTCTGTTTTTCTTCTTCTCTCCTCCCCTCGTCTGTCCTCGCTGTTACCCTCCTGCTGTAATCCCTCTCTTACACTCTCTGTGTGTCTCACAGCCGTGCAGGCGATCTGAAGATATAGGAACTGGAGTTAATCTCTGCAGCATTGTGCTTCGCTGCAGTTCAGCCACGGTAGACTGGCTCACGTAGCTCCCCCGAGAAAGAGAGGGAGAGCTGCTTTTTATACTCACCTCCTATCACTCACCTCCCCGCTCTCTCTTTTCCCTTCCACCATAAAAGGCTTTATGTTGTCTGCTGCTGTTTTCCTGCACCACAGTTAGCATCTTGGGGCTGCTCGGTTAAAAAACGTGCGAGAGTGAAGACCTCGAGTGCTCGGTAATCGATGGCAATCTTCTTTTTGTTTTGCTTTGTGTGTTGCGGTTGCTTCTCGAGTGCAATCACGAGCACCATCGACAGCCGATGTTGTAATAGAAAGGCTCTTCTGCAGCCTGACATTAGCTAATTAACAAATCCAGGGACAACAACAATCACTTCCACCTCTTCAGTCCCTTTTCTCTCCTCTTTCTCCTTCACAACAAAGCACCAGCATCTATTCACCCGCTCGCTGTCCAGGCAGAGAGGTCACCGTGAAGCATGGATTCACCGTAAAAAGGTCAATGATTGAGTTGTTCTGTGTTTCTAGTTGATTAGTGTGCGACGGGAACAAGAAGCCGAATTCATTCTGTCGGCTCGTGATCACAACTTTTTAAGGAAAGTATTTAGGAGACTTAGTGACTGATCAACTCACCTGATAAATCATCAGAAGTGGCGGAAAGAAATCATTAGTAAATTGTTGCATCTGTGCTCGACTTACACAGTAGGCTACTAAGGGATCAATATCTTTACTGTTATCTGAGAGAAAACAAGTATCTATGAAGTGAAATCTTAAGTGTCTCAGTTTGAACATAATACACACAATGAATTATTAAATAAACTGTATGTTGATGCCATGTTTAGGTGGCATTAGCCGGCTCGTGCTAGCTTTGAAAACGCTAACATCCTGACGACAGTTCATCTCGACCATTGTCATCTTTTCTTAGATGCGTGTTCGCTGCAACATTTTTGTGATTTTCCTGTTCTCTTCCTTCTTCATGGTACGTGTGAAGATAAATGCTGCTGCTGCAGGAAACTAACTCCAAAGCAGCTTGGACGTGTTTTCTGCTGATGTACAAAATCACTCCCACTTGAAAAGTTTCAATAATTCTGGTCTTTGTCAGCTGTCGATTTTATTACATTTAAAACAAAAATAAAAACACAAAAATAAAATTCCTCCAGATATAAGTTGCATTCGTTTGTATAATACGTCTCTAAATTGCTGACTGATCCTGAACTCGTCCTGATCTGCTGTTTGGACAATGAATCTTTTTGCCTCCATGATAGTGGATTCCATCCAGCCTGGCTGGTCTTTGTGGTCCAAATGTGTGCAACTGAGTGTATCACACATGTTTTGTGACGTTATAATTTGTTCTTGTATTGTCAACATGTACTTCAGTCAGTGAACGCCACCATTTGGAAAACAAATCAGCAGGTGTCGATGTAATTAATACCCAAGGAATGTGCCGTGCTCCCGGGGGTCTGCTCTCACTCCCTGCTGTAACCCACCTGCCAATCACACGGCGTCCTCTGGGAAATCCCCTCATCTGTTGAGCTCCTGCAGCTCTCACATGATGTCCTGAAGTTTCCCTCTGAGGACATTAGCGCTTGATTCTACAGACGGCTGTCTGTCTCCTCTCATCCGTGCCTGGACGCTGCACGGCGGCGTGGAGAGAAAACAGAACAGAAATTCATCAAGAGAGAATTACACTTGAACATAAGAGTTAATTACTATAGAGAGGACCGGGGGGGTAGCATGCATGGAGACTGCTGGACTAATTAAGAGTTAGCTGATCCCTCTGGATGCAGAAAAGCTGCACAGTGTACCGGTACAAAGAGCAGAAACATTGCCCACTGGTAGCTTCTGCTTAAGAAAAAGATTAACGCTGAATCTCAGGTGAGCTCAGTACAACTTTACTGAGAGTTAAGTCGTGGCATCAAACCAGAGTATTTCTGCTGGACGGATTTTAAAGGTGTTTAAAGGTGGAATGTGTAATAGGGGGCAGCATTTGACCCTTTATTACTGGATCCATACTATCTACATATACAGTCTTCAGTTATTAAAACCAAAAGCCAACTACTAACTAACACAATTTAACCAAACTGCTGAAACTCTGAGAGACCGTCCAAAAAAGGCACTGCTATCTTATAATCTTCATGTTACGTTGGCCGACTTGGACACCACGTCGCGGTCATTGAATTCACTACACAGTGTGAAGACATGGTGGGAGGAACGTCCCTCGATTGGAGCTTTTAAGTAAAGATGCAATTGTTTTGAGGTTGATTACTTAACTTTAAGTTTAATGTTTTTAATTGTGGTGGTGGACAGAAGATATTCAGGTACGTGTGCTGCATGAGACCAAACAGTTGAACCACTGCTTTCTACTGGCCCTCTCTTATTTACATTAAAAGCCCTGCAGTCACGAGGCTAGTGGAGGTTTGAAGGTCTGACCTGAGTTTGAACCCTGTGGAAAAATCACAAATCCAATCTCACAAAGATCCATAATGCATCTCAGATGCCTCATCACCCCCCCCCCACACTACCCTCCCCCTTCATTACACATACAAACCCAGTGAAAAGGGGAGCCATAAAACAAATGAGCCGTTGCTACCACATAGCATCTTGATGCATTGTTTACACCGATCAAAGGATGTCACCAGTTTGTGCAGAATGCAGCCGTTTTGATATTCACTTTGATATATGTAAACCAGCCGTATGGTGGAGCTTGCTCTTTATATCCTGCTACCAAAAGGAGAGCCTTCCCTGCAGCAGCTGTGCACAGATAGATCCAGTGGCTGTCACCTGTAATGAATCACTTGCTCTCAGCATCATGTCTGCGCAGCCTGATAAGACCTTCTACCTTCAGCGTATCTGTTCCATCACCTCAAACACGGAGGGGAGGAGAAGAAAAAAAGAAAGAGGAAGAAAGAAAAGTCTTCCTTTTCCCCATCTGCGTTCTTTCTGGTGCTTCCTCGTCAAACATCTCCCCCCTCCAAAACGCATTAGCATTTTTATTAGCACGTAGAGAGTAAAGTGGATTATTTACCGGCCTGACAACCCCCCTCCCTTCTCCACCAGCCCCTCCTTTATGCTGCACGTTGCCGGGGACAGGAAGAGAAACGACCCCCGACTTCCTGCGTAAAAGAAGCATCAGCAGCCGGAGACGAATGCCTGGACTTTAAAAGCAAAGCTGCAACAAACTGCTGTTCCCTCCACCGTCACTTTAAATCACCAGATAGTCGTTTCAGAGAGTCAAATCTTCATTATACCGCAAGAGAGGTTTCAGCCTGGTTCCACCAAATGACCTTTGAAAGACACGGCCACCTCTTGAGTCATTTCACAACATTTGCTGCAACGTAAACCCAGCCGAGTGAACGTGCTCTGCTCAGAGCTCTCGACGTAGATTAATGAGTGAAGCTCAGAGCAAGTGAGGAAGAGCAAGTGATATATAAACAGTGAGGAAGACTACTGATGGTGGGCGGAGCTGGGCAGGATGTGGATGGGTCAAACAAACACAGGACTTTCACTGAGGAGACCAGCGTTCGTGTCCCGTGTGAAACCAAAAGTGTTATTACTTATTTGGATGTTACATTAGTGACGTTTGTGTCGTGTTTTCTGTACTTATGTTACGTTGTTTACGTACATATTGTAGGCCCAACCATGAGGGACCTCCCTCCGGTTCGCCCTCAAGGTAAACACTTTTAGCTCTGTCGGCACTTACATCTAATTTACCTCTAGCTACGAGCCGTCGGCTGAGGCGTCACCATGTTTAGAGCCCTGGAGGGGCAATTGAAATGCTCCCAATATCAGAACTTGCGTCTTTGAAAGCGGCGTGCTATTTATACGGCGCCCCGTGAATCACATTCTGTTAACAGACTGCAGATACTAAAGACATATCAATTAATGCAGAGTATAGGGCCCTATGCACTCCAGCATGTTTTGTTTTATGACTGTATTGAAGCACTTGGGAGACAATAAAAACAGATTTCAGAGGGCCCTAATATAAGATAAATGAAATGCAAACACAACTCATGTAAAATAAAGCCTCTATTGAAGCACGTTACAGCCTGTGCACATTAGCATGTGTAACCTAATCCTTACACTCTATAGTTTCATCACGCAATGTGGATCAACAATGCTTGCAACCAGACACTGACCCTGCTAACCCAGTATCATGATTACAGTAAAGTAGAGTAAAGCTCCATCTTCCGTCCACTCAGAGTATACAGTTGATCTACTGTGTTGTTGTGCTCCAAGCTCAACTTATCGATCCCAGCTCTGCCACAGACGTACGTTTTATGTGGTCCTCAGTGTTCCGTCGATGGCTGGGAAATAACAAACAATTTCCGTCTGAGCTGTTACTCCACTGATGCACTTGGAAAGCACCACTTAATGCTTCAGCCGATGTTTGGCTGTGTGTGTGTGTGTGTGTGTGTGTGTCCAAGACTAATGCAATCCTAGACCATGAATACCGGCAGTGCTGCCAGGAGTCAGACCAATCTAACTCCACAAATGTGTTTAATTAATGTGTGATGTAGCCTTTCTATAGTGTGCAACTGTATCACGGTGCCTGTGCTACGCTACGTTAGCTTTATTCTGCAGAAATGTAAAAGTTTGGAGGAAACTGGCTCTTCTGAATTGATCCTCAGCACCTGCTCTGAAACAACACAATTACCGAATACAGCGCACTAAAGAATTGATGATAAAGAGTGTTATCACCCGGCTTTGTTCCATGCGCCTCTTCTCTTAACTCTACTGTTTGATCTCATCAGTCTTGTTTCTAGGCAGGCAGCCATTTTCAGGAAATAATCTCTGATAAATCCACTGTGCACCAACAACGACCTGCTCGGCACCAAGTACCAGACACACAAAGTCCACAGCTAGCTGGTGAACAAAGTGGAATGCACCATTTGACTCCCGACGGTTGAGATTGTTTCCTCTCTCTCTCTGTTTCCAGGTAGCGTCGTGTATCTGGGGATGATGTTTGGCGCCTTCTTTTGGGGCGGCCTGTCAGACAGGGTGGGGCGTAAACAGTGCCTGCTGATATCCCTGTCTGTCAACGGCTTCTTCGCCTTCCTGTCCTCCTTCGTCCAAGGCTACAGTATGTTCCTCGTCTGCCGCATGGTGTCCGGATTCGGGTGAGTTCTCATCTCTTGCACATTGCCGTCTCCCTTCCTCCAAAGTCAAAGCACACAACAGGAGGTTATTCTAACGGCCTGAGTGTGTGCGTGTGTGTGTGTGTGTGTGTGTGTGTGTGTGTGTGTGTGTGTGTGTGGAGGGGGGATGGGGGGGAGGGGTGGAACACAGCAACAAAACAAAACGTCTGCAGAAAACAGTAAATGAACATCTGTGCGTTTGAGCGACGGGGGTTGAGCATTATTCAGGTGTATGTTTATTATACAAGGTCCCTGTTAAATGAACTTGTACAAATAAAATGTAAATTAAGTTTACAGCAACTTTGTTGTAAAAAGTAAGGACAGGTTATCACAGGTCATATGTATGTTAAAATTTCCATTCTTAGAATACCTATATTATATATGAAATCTATATATTTTAAATAGAGTTAATTGTGTCAAACTGAACACAGCAACGTATTGTTTTATGATGCTGAATGATCTCCAGAGTCTCTTTAATAAAAGCAAATTACACAGAATCTCTCTGTCTGCTGCGCACATGAAACATCCTCTTTGATTCACCACTTCTCTGGGGTCCAGCTCCTCATTGATCTCGTTTTATGCAATCACTCACCGGTTTGTTTTTTTCACTCTTTTTTTATATTTTCGTTGTTGACGAAAACTAGATTTTCGTTCAAACGAAAGTCGAGCTGAAGGTGCTTCCTCGTTCAGGGATCTTTCCTGTGACATGATTCAAAATTGCTTCTGCTGATATTAGTTCACACATGGCCGCCTGCTGACCGAGACAAAGTCACTCTCTAAGTTATGTAAGGAAAAGATTTGATAAAAAAGTTTAAAATCCTGTTTCTCCTTGACGATCAAAGTGAGTGATAGTTCTGTGCAACGCTTCGTCACATCAGATAATGAGTTCACACATTTCATCAAAGTTACAAATGATTTTCTGTAACCATGAGTCTGTTTTGCATCCCCATAAATATTTGTCACACACACACACACACACACATTAATGTAATTACGACGAGCATTCATAGCTCATGACAGCAAACCGTTTTGTTTTGCAGGATCGGCGGAGCGGTGCCGATCGTATTCTCCTACTTCGCGGAGGTGTTGGCTCGGGAGAAGAGAGGAGAGCATCTGAGCTGGCTGTGCATGTTCTGGATGATCGGAGGAATTTACGCCTCGGCCATGGCCTGGGCCATCATCCCACACTATGGTGAGCGACAACTCCGACCCAACGCATGAGTCACGATAATGCCACGCTGACGTGAGCGCCAACAGAACAGCACTCTTTGAGTCATTCGAGACTTTATTCATCAGTGTTGCTGTGATTTACTCCTCATCTCATCAAATGGTCTTAAAGTTTGGAGACTTGGAGAGAAGCCTGAAGTTTGCTCTACATGGTAAAATAATAAAATAAATACAATAACCGCAGTCAATTCCACACGGTGAAACTCACAGCTTACTGATGAATCACTGGTATCGATATCATTACTGGAAACGTCCCATCGGCATATCCACAGACTGTATTCATGCAACGAGCTGAAACTGTGTGTTTCCTTTGAAAGTTTATTGTAAACTGACGCTAGAGGGGAAACTAGAGCGTCACAGTTCGAAGCGTCTAGAGACACTGACCAAACGTCGGTGTTTGATGAGTCTGGAGTGAGAATGTCAACGAAACACTTGATCTCGTGCTCTTGCATGTATTTGATTGGCCACAGTGAGGCGGCATCACGCCGCAGAAAAGGTTGAGCCTCAATGTACCTTAACTTTCAGCTCCGCATCACTAGTTCAAAACATTACCGCCAATAGAGATGGCAGTAAAGTTTGACTCGGCGATGTGGCTCTTCTGTCTCTATGGTGCTCCCTGCTGTACGGATGCACACGCAGTCGCAGCACGATGGATGCAGGTTGCATCGCAAACACATTTTCAGAATCGTGGGGCTTGATTTAGAAAAGGCCCTCCAGGGTGCACAGGAACACAAAGCAGGTGGCAGTGTAGGTGGAGGCTCCGACAATAGCAGCAACAAAGCACATGTCGGCCTACACAGTGAATATGAAGGCCTTTTGAATTCGATGGGTGGGGGAGGCAAGCTATCAGATGTCGCTTTTCATTTTTGTGTGTTTTTTTTTAAACCAAAACAGGACTTTAATCTTCACATGAGGTCCACAGCCAGTGTTCATCTCATGGTATTTTATGTGAAAATGTCGGAGGTAAAACTAGATTCACGAGGAGGAAAACATAAAAGGTCGTAGCGAGGGAGGATGAACAGAGAAAGGGAGGAGGTGTGTGTCAGAGGATGAGAACAAAATGAGTGAAATGAAATCAATCTGGTGTGTAGGGGACGAGGAAAGAGGAACAGAGGAAGAGATTAGGAGGACAAGCGGGAAGGAGAGGTGGGGGTGATTTATGTGGCCGGTGTCGGGGATAATCGAAAGGTGAGGGGACACAGCAGAGCAAAGAGAGAGGGAGGGAGGGAAGGAGGGAGGGAGGGAGGGAGGAAAGTGTGAAGGAGAGGATGAGTGAAGAGGAAGGGTTTCTTTGTTTGCCTTTTTTTTCAGGGCTGTGTTCATCATCAGGAGTGTGTGACTCTATAATGCAAGTTAATTAAGTTCCTTATCTAGAATAAAGTCATGACCCAGAGAGAGAACATCACACTCTCTGCAGGAGGAAACATCTGTGCTATTTCAGTTCGGCTACTTCTCTTAGTACTCTTGTAGTACACTGTGTACACTTCCTTCAAACACGGCTGTTCTCGGAAATGGAGAGAACAGCCATTACCATTTCTTCTTCTTTTTCTTCTTCGAAATCAACCGGGCGGAGCATCAGCACCAGCATTTGTCAGCAGCCAAAATATCTGCTTTGTTGCTCACTTGACATTTGTATTAAAATTGAATGCAGATGTAAATATACTGTTATTTAGGAAATACGCCACCTTCTCCACCACTTTTTACCAGGTTGGGTGGTCCCTTCTCTCCCGTTACGTAGCCACGATGGTGACCACTGAGGGTGAGAAGTGTCCAGCGTCCACACTCAGCTTTTTGACTGCTATGAATTCACGTTCTTGGCACTCATAGTATACTTTCTTTTGCCATTCTTGGCAGTGTGAATGCACTTATGCACTCAAAATAGCAATACATAAGCTTCAGGGGAGTCTTGTCCACCATAAAATATGACCATATAGACTGTATAAAAGAAATGGACGTAGTCGTCGTGACATCACCTGTATACAGCTCTGATGGCGACCTGTCAATCACCGTGTAGCCCCGCCCCTAAAGCATCCCCTGCTTTATGGTCTGTTTGACTCTAAATGGACCATAATGTACTAAATGAACATCATGCTGTATTGAAGAAGACTTGAAACTAGAGATTGAGACCATAAACTCATGTTTACAATGTTTACTGAGGTAATAAATCAAGAGAGAAGTAGAGTCAACCAGAGTCGCCCCCTGGTGGACACTAGAGAGAATGCAGGTTGAAGGCAGACAGAAATACTACATGTCCCAGAATCCTGTGGACTGCAAACACTTATTGAGCAGGAATATAGCAGCTGGTGTATCTGTTTACAGTGCAGCCAAACAAACTCACATTGTCTTCATTAAATAAATCGACCTTCTGGTCCACTGTCAAAAAGGTCTGGTTTCAGAGTGGACTTGCATCATAGTTCTTTTCTGCAGCGTCATTGTACAGCGAGCAATGCAGAATGAGAATGCGTCAGGCTGTAGACTTTGCCTCAAAATGACCTCCCTGTGATGGGAACAGAGCAGCTTCTGTTCGCTCTGAAGCTCTCTGCTCAGGAGACGAAGATGAAGCAGACGCTGGTACAAACTACTGCTGTCAGCAGCCTGCGGTGACTAGGCTTTTAAAACTATGACCACGACACTTTTGATTTTTTTTGACTATGTTGAAAATTTCGTATCGCAGACGATGAACAAAACCATTAAAACGTGAGATGCATGTCGGCTGTCATAGCACAAAAACAGTGTTTTCTTTCCTTCACAGTAAGAACTTTACTCAGGCGAGTGAGCGTTCGAGTGCCGGCTGCGTCTCATAATTGAGGCCAATTGATTAGACGTCAGTGTTTCAACATGTTCTTTTTCCTCCGAGACGCAGCGGTGTGTGGGCAGCAGGTTCCTCCGCAGTGCTCTCTGCATCGATTGGTGGACAAAGGCCAGATAACTCTGTGTGTGTGTGTGTGTGTGTGTGTGTATGTGTGTGTGTGTCATTCTCTCTTTCTTAAGGTGTTAAGAATGTGATACGGTAAAAGAACGGTTAAAAATAAAGATCGCAGCCTGTGTTTTATATATTTTATTATGTGTGTGTGTGTGTGTGTGTGTGTGTGTGTGTCGCAGTGTCAGTGTGATTTGCCAGTTTGCCTTTCTGTGTTTTCATTAACACACCAATGCTTTAAAATGTGTGTGTGTGTGTCACAGCATTGAACAATGGCCAAGGACAGTGTGTGAGTGCACGAGTGTGTGAGTGTGTGTGTGTGTGAGTCTCAGCCGTGCTCACATACTGTAGAATAGGAACATAAATCTTGCTGAGTATCTGAATCAGTCAGCCATCTCCTCCAGTCCATTAAAGCTATAATCCCCCTAATGAGGTTTGTACTGGTACAGGCCACACACACACACGCACACACACGCGCACACACACGCTAACATACTTTCTTGTTGCTGATTCTATGAAACAGACTCCACTGTGTGAAATTAAATTTAAATTAAATTAATTTAGACTTACGCTGAAGATGCTCTGTCACATATTGATCATCAGCATGTTCACCCAGTAAACCGGCGTTTGTGTGTGAAACCAAAAATGTTACTGATGACATTATGTTTTGTGTTATGTTCGTGTTATGAGAATAAAGATAAATGTGTGTGTTTTGTGCTTCTCTGTGCAGGCTGGAGTTTCAGCATGGGTTCGGCCTACCAGTTCCACAGCTGGAGGGTGTTTGTGGTGGTGTGTGCGCTGCCGTGTGTCTCTGCAGTGGTGGCTCTCACTTTTATGCCGGAGAGTCCTCGCTTCTTCCTGGAGGTGAGAGAGAGAGAGAGAGAGAGAGAGAGAGAGAGAGAGAGAGAGAGAGTCAAAACCTTTGTGGAGTAACTTTTTACTCAGGTGAAAGGGACAAGTGCATGCCGGCAAAGTTAGAAACATGGTTTGATAAAGTTTGGCAGCTGATTAGAGCGTCTCACCAACAAGCTGCAGCTGTGACGCACACAATCTGTGGACATGGACATGATTTCAGATTCAGTGTGATTTGCGCTTCCTAAGCGCATCATTATCTCTAATTTATCTTGAATAAACATCCATAAATCTGCTTAGAAATCCTGTGAGAAAGCGGCTCTTTTATAACTCCAGAACTCTCCAGAGTCATCACATTCTTAAGTTTTCTATTCAGCGATTGATTTCTTTATTTCTGTGTCACGCACATACGATCCCCAACCCTCGTGGGTTCTTATAAGACACCACAGCTGCAGCTGCAAAACCTTTCATTTAACTACAGAACATATTTTTTCACCGCTTATTCTAAACATAATATTCTGCCCTCCCTCCCAGGCTTTGCAAATATAGTCTGCTCCAAAAAAAGGTTATTTCCCTGATGCACGACTCAAGTTTCTCATCCAGCCCAAAGAAATCAACATAAGTGGAGTTCATTTCTACTAAAGACGACATCCCTTATGTCCTCGTAGAGAGGACAGTAAAACAAAAGGTGCACCTCAGTCTCAATTTCACGGAGCTCACACAACAAATAAAGTCTGTCCTCCTCTGGAGTGACATAAAACCTGCCGGTTTTTAGAGCTAATGCTAATGTTCCTGAGTGTAACTGTGCACACAGGGATCTTTTGTTTAAGTTACTCTTCAGCTGTCTCTACATGCATGGCTACATTGCAAACAGGATCTGCTAATGGCTAATTCGGCATGCTTTGTGTCAAAATGTAAAGCCCATAATGTTGTCAGTTTAACCACAGTGCCAGCATTAATGTCATTTGCAGCATATATGACTCATGCAATTACTATAAATATGTAACATTTGGTTGACCAAATGACGAATGAGATCCTGATGTGTATTCACACATCATGTGACTTAACTGTCCCTTTAGACGGGTAAACACGACGAGGCCTGGATGGTGCTCAAACACATCCACGACACCAACATGCGAGCCCGCGGGGAGCCGGAGAGAGTCTTCACCGTGAGTACACGCCGGGCCTCCGCAACTTATCATCGTTGCTGCTGCTTGTGACGCCATCGGCGGGTGACAGAGCGGTCTCTCCCCCTGCAGGTGAACCGGATCAAGACCCCCAGGCAGCTGGACGACCTGGTGGAGATGCAGAACGAGTCGGCCAACCCGGTTCTCAAGGTCCTCTTCAAGATCAAGACTGAGCTCAGAGGAGTATGCTTCCTGTTTATTCTGTCCTGGTTTGTTTCGTTCTGATTTCTTTCTTTCTTTCACGAGATTTAAATTGAGTAAAACTATTTTCCCTTTTATTACAGATCTGGTTGACTTTCATGAGATGCTTCAACTACCCGGTGAAAGACAACACCATCAAGCTGGCTGTAGTCTGGTTCACTCTGTCCTTTGGGTGAGAGATCTTCTACACTTCTCTATATTGTGATTGTATGCTTGAATGATGCTATATGTATATTTATAATGATATATATATATACCTGTATATATGTGTCACCATAGATGTTACTTTCCAGCTGAGTAACAGTTTGGGCGAGGTGCTCAGCACTGAGGCAGACGCTCTCTCACTTAAATCCTCCTGATGAATGTTGACAGGTTTGATTGGACGGAGAGAACTATTTGACAGAAGGTGACTTTTTGTCAGCTGGCTGCTTTAATGAAAGTCTGAGCCCAAATGACGAGTCCTTTAAGATTAAAGATAGACAGAAGTAAGCTGTACAAGAACAATACTCACTGTTAGTGCTGCAACAATAAGCTTCAGCCTTTTCTAATTCATGATTATGATATTTTATAAATATTTTGCTCAAAACCACCTCAGGTATGTAAGACACTGCGTGTTATATTCAGAGGAGGAAACAGCAGCAGAAATCTGACTTATTGACCTTTTGTTCCTTCACAAACTTCTGGATGCCTATACGCGTATTTAGGAGTGTGTGTGTGCGTGTGTTTACAGGTACTACGGGCTCTCTGTGTGGTTCCCCGACGTCATCAAGCACCTCCAGGCCGACGAGTACGCCTCCAGAGTGAAGATCCACAACAACGAACGCCTCGAAGACTTCACCTTCAACTTCACCCTGGAGAACCAGATCCACAGAAACGGGGTCTTTCTAAATGACAGGTAAAAAAGATTTGGATTTGGATTTCAGTATTCTCCAGTGAGCCCGGCTCCTTCAGACGAATGGATTCATGATTAAGAAAAGCCGCTGCAATGGTCTGAACCCGTGAGCCTCCCTCGGCACAGTGTTGTGGTTAAAAGCCTCTCGTCCCGTTGTGGGACAGCGGTGCTATCCGTCATTCCCGCAAACAGCACTCCACTGCTGGTAGTATTTATTCTGCCGCCTTTATCTCCCCCACCTCCAGGAAATGAAATGCCTTATCTCTCTCTCTCTCTCTCTCTCTCTCTCTCCCTGACACACTCACACCGTTTCCTCCTGGTTCTGATTTACACAAAGGCCAGAGAGAAGATACGCTGTTTTTGTTTTCCATCCTCTCTGTTTATTAAGCAATTAAATTAAGGACATGATGCCGTGCACAGCAGCAGATCATTTAGATCACTTACAGTCTGGTGAGCTCTCTCATATTACTGTCGACCTGCTGCAGGATGGACGCACTAATCTTATGTGAAGTAAAGTTGGAAGAACCTATTTTTACTCTGGTACAAGTAAAAGTCCTGCGTTTAAAGTTTGAAATGTACAATGTTACGTTATATAAAATATTACAGTTTTCTTATCACTGATGTACTAACATAGACGTGCTGATGGCTTTTTATACTGTTCGATAGTTGAATAGAAAGATGCATCATATTTGGTAATAAGATCATTTGTCTTGTATGTAAAATCTATCTGTAAAGTAACTATAGATAAAGTCTGATAAATGTAGAATTATGTGCAATATTTGTGAGGCACAAATGTATATTAGCATACAATGTAAATACTTAAGTGAAGTACAAGTACTGCAAATTTGTTCTTACATCCAACCTTCTTGCTAGATTTAGCAGCTTTTGGATCTCGTGCTTTCCTTTGAAAAGAGTTGGAAACAGTTATAAATTGGATGGTTTTTCAAATCTAGCATCTTGCTTTCTCAAGATTACCAACCCTGCCTTTAAAATATATTTAAGTTCAATTAAAGTAAGTCATTTACTTTTGGTTTCACACGGGACACAAACAGCAGCCTCCTGGGTGAAAGTCCTGTGTTTGTGTTTTGTTAGTAAGAAGTGAGCTAACCAGACTTCTAGCTGCTCTTCTCTGCTGGAGCTACGTTAGCTGCTGCTAGCATCAAACGCTTAAAACTATCGGCGTTGGAGTTGCATTGTGGGTAATGTAAGCTCCAGGTTTTGACAAGGGAGAAGAATGTGTGGTTAAAAAAAACATGTAATTTGCATAGATTTTGATCTTTTTTTAAAACGTTTTAATCTATTTAGCATTTAATTCAATGCCATCACCTTTATCTGTCAGAAATATAATCCTGCTTTATTGATTCATTTTTGGATTATATATATAAATATATTTCTCTTGTTCTCTTCACAGGTTCATCGGTATGAAGTTCAAGGCGGTCACATTCATCGACTCCTCTTTCCTCAACTGCTACTTTGAAGATGTCTCCTCCTTAGGATCCTTCTTCAAAAACTGCACCTTTGTAGACTCCTTCTTCTACAACACGGGTGAGTCTTCGCCTTCAGAATCACCCACAGTCACAGCACGCAGCTCCTCCCCGTACTCAGGCATTTCCTTCCACCCCAGAAAAGTGCTATTATACTGCAGGTGGCTTATAAGTCTCACTCAGTCTATGCCTGACAGTTCATTTGGGGTTTAACGTCCGAGCTTCTGGGGGAAGAAAGAATGGGTTTGAGCGTTTATGGCTGTGCTTTTGTTATTCCACTAAATTACTGCTTAACCTCTCTGCCCCGGCACAGATTGCCTCTCTGAACTCAGGCGACTGGCGTTAACAAAGAAAACTGAGGCGGGCTGGGCTGCAGAGCATTTGAAAATGTCAATTTCTAACCGCGCAGACACTCTCGGAGGGATGCTTTTTATCGTATCTGATGTTTTAGATGCATGCAAAATTAAAACGGCGAGGAACATGAACATGATTCTCTGAAGAGCTGGATTTAGCTGGAGTTTTTTCTTTTCCCTAAGTCACTTGTTTTGGTACCAAGGCATAGAAGTCTTCAAAACATCAAATTAATAAACCCAGGCTATGGTATAAAAGTGCAATTCAATCATTCTTGGTGGCTGACTAAAAAAAAACCAGAGCAAGAAGAAAAAGGAAAAGCAGAGCAGACATTTGAAATGTTCTGAGAGGAACCGGAGCTAAATCAGACCTTGTGGGAGCGCACGGTGGAAAAATAGTTCCCTCCAGCGCTCCGGAAAAAGAGCTGAACGTGGAAACAGTAAGGGCACGTCAGGTTGCCGGTAATGCCCCATGGGAAATGAAGTCTCTTTGCCCCCGGCAATGTGTCTCTAGAGCATAATAGGAAGAGAGAGGGAGGGAGGAGTGCGTCATGAGAGCAGAGGTGAGCGCAGGGAAGGTTTTCTCTTCACTGCAGCAGCTGAAGTTTATTAATACACATTTTCTATTTAGGGAGAGAGCGCACAGACATTAACTATTCAGATTATTTACTACACACTGTGAGTATCATATGCATATAGTTGATACGGGATATTCGTATTAATTACATTTTAAAATGCCTTCACAGTACAAGACTTTATTTAGGTCATGATTGACCGGAAAGCTGCATTGAGATTAAAGGAACAGTTCGACATTTTGGGGACCGGAGGAGCAGAGAGGAGAAGCTCTGCTCCTGGAGGAGGAGGAGGAGGAGGAGGAGGAGGAGGAGGAGGAGGAGGAGGAGGAGGAGGAGGAGGAGATGCTGTTGCTGCCGGGAGCTGAGCTCTCCTCCTCCGGAAATCCGACTGCAAGCCGAAGCTGGATCTGGGTCTGTCACAGTGGACCGGTCTCTGCTGGAGGATCTGGG